CAGATCCTGTAGCAAATCCTGTAGCAGATCCTGTAGCAGATTCTGTAGCAGATTCTGTAGCAGATCCTGTAGCAGATCCTGTAGCAGATCCTGAAGCAGATCCTGTAGACAAGAATGCAGTACACATTCTGAAAATCAAAGGATTTGAGGAAAATGGGTTGTATAATATGTAACATGTAAATTAAAGTTTCGAAAATTCAGCACTTTAGATTACAAAAAAAATGTTTTCTGTAAAAGATACCGATATTTTTATGTAAACATTGATTTTCTGACTAAAAATAAATAAATGTCAAGTTTGTAAACCCTGCATATCTCTAGATTTCATCTCTTGACTGTGTATTTCGTTGGAAATATTTCAAGAATGCGGTTTACTGTAAAACCGTTCAGGAATGCTGAAGGACAGTTAAACCGAAAAATCTGTTTTTTAGTTGTGAAGGAATTTTTTTCTTTTTTTTCTTCACTTTTCCCTGTTATCATTGTACTTAGCATAATCAGCAATATTCAAGGTTTTATAGGTTTAAGAATTTGGTACACACAGCAGTAACTAGTGTAATTTAATTTAACGCTAATTTTTGGTTCTTGACACTGAGATGCCGTTGGCTACAAGAGGGGCTGCAGAGCGCTACGGCTAGGGCAAACTAGAGTGAACTGAGGTCACTAACCTTCATTTTGACATGTTGCATTTTCCCCTAATATGAGTTCTGGGATATCAAAATGGAGGTCAGTGACCTTAGATATAATTTTTTTGGAACAGATGAAAGTTGTAATTTTTTTAAATTGGATTCTTTTAAAATTTATTTTTTATTTTTTTATAATTTATTTTCTAAATTGTAGAATGACAAAAACAAGAGTGAATATATTTTTTTGACACCCTGCCATGCGATTCCCCTAGCAGCAGATAAAACTTTTTATTGACCTTATTGATCTACCAGCTGACTAAACCAGATTTAAAGGATTCAAGTTGGGTTGGTATTAAACACAAAGGAAAACCAAGATGTTTAAAAGAAAAATCAGACTTGATTATAGGAAACAGAAGGAGTTTGAAAGGGAAATCAGACTGGTTCACAGGAAAACCAAGATGTTTAAAAGGGAAATCAGACTGGTTTACTGGAAAACAAAGGTGCTTAAAAGGGAAATCAGACTAGTAAACAGGAAGCACAAGGTAATTAAAAGGGAAATCAGACTGGTTCACAGGAAAACCAAGATGTTTAAAAGGGAAATCAGACTGGTTTACTGGAAAACAAAGGTGCTTAAAAGGGAAATCAGACTAGTAAACAGGAAGCACAAGGTAATTAAAAGGGAAATCAGACTGGTTAACAGGAAAACCAAGATGTTTAAAAGGGAAATCAGACTGATTTACAGGAAAACCAAGATATTTAAAAGGAAAATCAGACTGGTTTACAGGAAAACCAAAATGTTTAAAAGGGAAATCAGACTGGTTTACAGGAAAGCCAAGATATTTATCAGGAAAATCAGACTGGTTTACAGGAAAACTAGGTTTTTTAACAGGAAAATCAGACTGGTTTACAGGAAAACCAAGATGTTTAAAGTGGAAATCAGACTGGTTTCCAGGAAAACCAAGATGTTTAAAAGAAATTAAAATGTTTATAGGGAAAATCAAGAAATACTGAGGAAAAAATGGGAGGAGAAATCAAGAGATGAATCCAAGATCAAGAGTTGAAGGAGAAATCAAAGCTATGGAGGATGGATACAAGAGAATTGAAAAAAGAAGAAAATAAAAAAAGAAAAGGGAGGAATAAGAAGAGAATGGAATTGGAAAATGAAAGAAAAAGAAACGTGTAAACAGAGAAGAAGAAAAAGTGAAAAGAATGTTAATGAATTTTTTTAGATTATTGATTTTGATGGTTATTTTATCGTTAGAACATTGTTAGAACCGAAAAAACGAGAGTGAACCAAGACCGAAATATATTTTCAATAAAATGTGGAACTAACACCTATTTTATTAACTTTATGAGGTTTGGTCCATCTTCATCAACGAATCTTAAATTATGAAGTAGAAAGTGAAAAGGGGAACAAGGAGAGTTTAATAGGTAAAGGACATAAAGGGGAACAATGAGAGTTTAATAGGTAAAGGACATAAAGGGGAACAAAGAGAGTTTAATAGGTAAAGGACATAAAGGGGAACAAAGAGAGTTTAATAGGTAAAGGACATAAAGGGGAACAAAGAGAGTTTTATAGGTAGAGGACATAAAGGGAAACAAAGAGAGTTTTATAGGTAAAGGACATAAAGGGAAAAAGAAGAGAATTTAATAGGAGAGGAGGAGAAGAGAATTTTAAGAAGAGAGCATAAAGGTAAAGAGAATTTTGAGAAGAGAGCATAAAGGGAAAGAGAATTTTGAGAAGAGAGCATAAAGGGAAAGAGAAAATAATTTTAAGAGGAGAGCATAAAGGTAAAGAGAAGAGAATTTTAAGAAGAGATCATAAAGGGAAAGCGAAAAGAATTTTAAGAAGAGAGCATAAAGGAAAAGAGAATTTTGAGAAGAGGACATAACGGGAAAGAGAAAAGAATTTTAAGAAGAGCGCATAAAAGGAAAGAGAAAAGAATTTTAAGAAGAGCGCTTAAAGGGAAAGAGAAAAGAATTTTAAGAAGAGCGCATAAAGGGAAAAGCGAATATAAAAGAAAGAAAGACAGTGGAAAGAGGAAAGGGGGGAAAGGGGGAAAGTGTATTGAGTGGAAAAGGGAAGTCTCTGATTAATTCTGCCGCAGAATTATTGAGGAGCTATATAGTGGAGCATCGAGTTATTTAATCCGGAAAATAAATAAAATAATCTCCACCCTCCCCCTCCTATTCTTGTCTTCCCATATCCCTGTCCCCC